TATATTATTAGTTTTAATTAATTTTTTTAAGAGAAATAATTAGTGTAATCAAACAATATGATTTACTATTAGGAATTTTATAATATTGAAACCTTAGATTACATATCTCTTTTCTTAGAAGATATCCCTCTGCAAAGAATTGCTGCACATGTGTGCGCACAAAGCTAGCTAAGAATAACAAAATATTTATTTTCTGAGAATGGGATATTATAGACTCATTCGACTAAGCAAGAACACGATAAAAAAGGCGGAAAAGGGACCAATAATCTAACGTATATTCTTATCTTACTTAACTTCTTTACAAGATATACAGGATGTTTCACGCGTCACTATTTTTAATAATGTTTTTTCTGTTATATATATATATATATATAAGTGCAATTTATTTGTAAATGCATAAAATGTAAGAAAATAAAGCCAATAGATACATTGCTTATATTTTTCAATATTTCTTTGCGAGTCATTCCGAATGATTCAATATTGTAAAAGCAGTGTTCAAGGTCGTATTATTTTTCATACTCGCGACGATGTAATTGTTTTTACTGTCATTATAAGCACCAGAAGCGAGTTGATAATATATAATATCGAAAATATTTCGTCGATTAATCGCAATTCTTTTATATAGTTTATAGTATTCATATAGTATACTGGAAGAATATTTCAAAATTACATTAGATATCTATATTATAATTATAATATAATTATAATATATTTTAATCATTTAACTTTAAATAATTAATAACTCCATTTTTTGGACAGTCTGGCTCCAAAATACAAAATGTAAATGAATCAGTACAAAATTGAATGAAGGACACATCATAGGGTCAAGATCGAATTCGTGACCTTAACTCATTATCGCTATTATCGGTGCACCGCTAATTTCGTTCGCGACGCTTTGTTCGTCGTCGAAGCGTCTGCTCGGTTGGCTTTAATCCAGAGCTTGCATGCGCAAACGCTAGAAAATATTTCACGATCGCTGCTAAGGTCAGCGGGCTTCTAAGTCAATCGGTCAGTCGTGGTCGGGCCTCGCGGTTGATCGACTATCGATCCGGAATTATTATTTGGAACGGGACTATCTAAAAGAGAAAAGAAACATGCCGGACGCGAAGAAAAGAGTATGCATCGTCGGCAGCGGCAATTGGTAATTTTCTTTATGCCAAGGATAATTAATTACAAATTAATTTCTTGCAATATCCCTGTCATCTTTCCTTTAATTTCTCCCTTTTAATTGCCTTTTGTATTTATCTGTTGGAGTGCACATGCGCGTGTTTATTGAAATATAAAGCTTTATCTAAAGATGAAAGCGACATATATATCCCTTCTTCAGGTAAGTTTATATAATCATGAATTGTAACACGTTAAATAATCAACGGAAAATAAACTGATAACATAAGATACCTAAAAATTGCTCTCTTTGTTTCTTTTTCAGTTAATATTTAATATTCAAAATTAATTCATATATGTGTATGTATATGTGTGCATGTGTATAAAATAAGAATTCTCTGCAATATATTATATAATGATATAAAAATAAAATTTTATGATAATGTAGAAGAAAAGGTACATGTCATACACATTTTCTTAATATATTATTTGTATATTAAAAGAAGCAATATATATATTTCATCTTGAATGTCAATAATAAAGCAGATCAGTAGTTTTATTTGATCTAATTTGCGCGAGGTGACAGGCATACCGATGTAATTGTGCTCCACTATCTGTTTATTGTTCCAAAATTAACTCGTTGCATTATAATTTCGAGGACGCGCAACACGCGACCGCACAAATTTAATAAATGAAATTTAAATATTACAATTTAATTTCACTTTTTTCATCATAATTAATAATTATTATATACAAAATGTTTCACTAATCGAATTATATATATATGTACTTATAATCATCATATTTGCTAATATATGAATATTATTAACCAAAAGTTATATTAATGGACAGTAACATGTTATTCATTTGAAGAATCTTGTTATATATGCGATGAATCGTTCTAGGGGCTCGGCAATCGCAAAAATCGTCGGGGCGAATGTCACGAAATACAATAATATATTCGAGACACGAGTAACGATGTATGTGTACGAGGAGATTATCAACAATGAAAAACTGACCGACATAATCAACACTCTTCACGAGAATGTTAAATATTTGCCTGGGCACAAACTTCCGGAAAATGTGGCAAGTACCTCGAATATATTTTAGTCTATTTGTTTTGACAATTTGAATAATTCGATATCAATTATAAGATGTTGGAAAAAATAATTAGTAAATAATTTTAGCAGCAATCTGTAATATTTTTATACAGATAGAAAGAAAATATATAAGAATATCATGATTAATAGATAACAAAATTTAGAAAATATCTGACAAATTCAAGAGGTAACCGAGTAATCTAGATCGACAACTTAAAAAAATTAGAATTTGGGGAAAGAATTTTATAAGATATTAAAAATTAATGTTCAAATGTAATTTTTAAAAAAACTTTTCATCGAGATACAATCTGCTTGAAATCTATTAGATTTGCTTTAAGGGATTAAATCAAAACTATTCAGATAAAGAAATTAGAAGCAAGTGAGAAATATATTTGTGTGGATAGAGAAAACGTTCTCGATTAATAATCAGTGGTAGTGCGAACGTAGACTTTTCCAGAGGGCATAGACACACGATCGACACCTCCTGGGAAGAGATTTGGAAGATCCTCTTCCTTCACTGTCGGCAGGATCATTACTTTCTCACCAGGCTATATTTAAAATAGATTAGAATCATATTGCTATCGCAGTTATATTAAATCGTCATAATCAGATATAAATATTACCACAAGAAATAAGCAATGAAAGAAATAAAATGATACTCACCACCCAATTAGCGGGAGTTGCTACTTCTGGTCGTTTATCAACGAGCTGCAACGAATCGATCACACGCAATATCTCGCTGAAATGAGAAAATAATATCAATTAATATAGATTTCAATAATATATTAGAGATTTATATATGCATACAAAACTCTTTCTTTCTCTCATTATGGATCTGTTGAATGCATCAAACGCGATATTTAATGTAGTTATATTTCATCAACTTACTCGACATTGCGTCCAGTGGAGGTCGGATATTGCATGGAGAGTCGCAAACGATGATCCGGACTGATAATGTACAGAGCACGAACAGTCTGAGCGGTTTCCGGATCGTCCTTGCTTTGTTCGTCGATCATATCCAGTTTTATGGCAAGCTTACGATCGTGATCGGCAATGATAGGATACGGGAAAGCGCCAGGAATGTCTCTGCAGTACGACTTAATATCCTACAAGAAAGAAAAAATTAATTAGAAATGATGAATTATATAAAGACAATTTGAAAATTGAGGATAATAGCAAAGAGAAAAGTGTGAAAATTTAGAAGATTAATAAATGAATATAGTTTATATAAAAATGTATATAATGATATAAAAATATCAGAAATTGCATTCTTAATGTAGGTTTTATTAAACTTACATTGACCCAGTCCACGTGGTCCTTGAGCTTGTCAACTGAATGAGCAAGCAGCTTGGTATTGCGTTTCTGAAAGTGTGGCTGATGCACGGCAATACGACCCAATTCGGTAGTGCACACAGGAGTGAAGTCTGCAGGATGGGAGAATAGAACCACCCATCTGCAAAGAATAAACATTAACAAAATCAAATAAAAAATTAAAATTGGTATTCTAAAAGAAAGAGAGAGAGAGAGAGAGAGAAATCAGGTTAAATATATACCTAATAAAAATTATATATTATGCTATTAATATAAGTAATACAATATATATATATAATTTATACAATTAAATTCCCCAAAATATGTAATTCTACTATATAAAGATGACCGAGTATAGCAATCAAATTTCTGTTATTCTCTATTCTGTTAACAAGTATAATCGCTTGTTTATGGCATTTTATCAGAATTATATAACTGGTCGCAATTATCTGATTCGAGTGCGACACTTATACATTTCTCATAATTCCATTTCTTATGTTAAATTTTCGCTTTGACTTTATACCAAGGATTTTTTTAAATCGCATAAATAATTTTTTATATTACATATAGTTATATATAATTACTATGTATATTATCTTATAAATAGATTGTTTACAATAATCAAAGGATGTATTCTTGAATAACACTTCGCTGCAAATCATATACGTGTGAGCAAATGCGAATTAAGCTGTTGCGATATGCGCAATATATGACACAATATGCGCAATAAATTCAACATAATAAATTATATAACTACCGGACTGTTTACTGATAAATTATTATAAAAATCGAGCTAGATAAAATCACATAAGATAAAATATTATAAATTATTATAAAAATCGAGCTATAGATAAAATCTCGCTAGATAAAATCCCTGCAACATGTGCAAAAGTTAATTTTGTAATCGATAATATGCATTTTATTTCATATTTTCTTGTATTATGTTTTCTCTTGTGTTACATTTAGCAATGTCGACTTTTATCTTGAAAATTTTTATTTTTAAATATAATAACGACATAATTTTACAAAATAATTTCATATTTTCTAGCATATATTCAATAAGTCTTCAAGAATTTGCAAATTAAAAAATATTCAGAGAAAAATATATAAAAGATAATTAAAATAAATATATAGACAGAGAATAAAATAATTCTTATTCCTTGCCAATAAATGCAGTTATTATATAAATCATCGTTTTAATATATGCAATAATAAATCACAACTATATTATAATAACTATATAAAAGATCAACTTTTATATGTGTTTATGTATGTGTGTGTAAAAGAAATATTATATATATTATAAGCAACTTACGAGTTGCCTTGCCATTCGTAAAAATCGATGGGACCCTGTGTGGTCTCAGCCTTAAAATTCGGTATGATACTGTTAAGCCTCATTATTGCGTTGCCCTTGACTTGATACTCAATGAAGAAATTGCACGACCGTGTATCTCGATGAGATGCTCGTGTAGCACTGATGACTAGACCGGTTTGTAACGCTTGTTTGCGCTTTATATAGGTGCTCGAATAATATGATGCAAACATATCAAACATCACGTATCTCCTCCCCATATCTGATCTTACTAATATTATTGACGTTTGGATGACTAAATAGTGATTACTTGATATCAATGAAAAAATCCTCTTTCCATACGAAAAAGAAAATCTAAACGGCAGGTAGTTTCTCTCTCTCTCTCTCTCTCTCTCTCTCTCTCTGTGTGTAACTTAAAAATACAAATTAATTAGATAGTTTGGGGAAAAATATAAAAATTAAATATATAAACATGTCCACAATAATGATATATATCCGGGCTCATACATCATCATCTTTGATCATGCTGCTCTTAAAATCAGTCTTCGTGATCTTTAATTATAGATAATAGCCAAACTGATGAAAAGAGAATTAGTCTTATCTTCGTGCTATTATGATTCCCGCAGTTTTTTTCTATACATTCCTATGATTTCTTTCTATATCATAAAATTTGATGTTTAAGATAGGGAAACTAATTCTGGATAAATATTCTTCCAGGTTGCCGTACCCGATGTTGTAGAGGCCGCAAAAGATGCCGATATCCTCATTTTTGTCTTGCCACATCAGTTTATTCGCACCTTATGCTCAACGCTATTAGATAACATAAAACCAACTGCGGTTGGTCTTTCTCTCATTAAGGTATATTTCAAACATAACTCTCTTTCTTCCTCTTCATATCGTAATTGTATTAAGTTAATGAATTTTAATGAAAGGGTTTCGGACGAGGCGAAGGGAACAATATTGAATTAATCTCCAAGATCATCGAGAAGAATCTGAGAATACAGTGTAACGTTTTAATGGGCGCCAATCTCGCTAATGAGGTCGCCGAGGAAAAGTTCTGCGAAACTACGATTGGTAGATATTTTTTCTATATATAACCTTGTGTTTTTAAATGGAATATAGATTTTTTAGAGAGAGAAAGAAAGATTTTCTGTTCTAATTATCAATTCGGAAGTATACTAAATCCATCCAAATATTACGAAAATTATCTAAGAATCGTAAAAAATTGCAGGATGTAAAGATAAACGATTGGCGCCGGTGCTAAGAGACCTCATTCAAACTTCAAATTTTCGAGTGGTTGTTGTAGAAGATTGCGAGACTGTGGAAGTTTGCGGAGCCCTGAAGGTATGTTGATCATCTTTAAAGAAACTCATGCGTATTATCTTTGTTTATCATTTTATAAACCAAATATATTTCGTTCGTAGAACATAGTGGCATGTGCCGCCGGTTTCGTGGATGGTCTCGGATTGGGAGACAACACAAAAGCCGCAGTGATTCGATTAGGACTAATGGAGATGGTCAAGTTTGTCGATACCTTCTACAGCGGTTCTAAACTTTCCACATTCTTCGAAAGCTGCGGTGTGGCAGATCTGATTACAACTTGCTACGGAGGAAGGAATCGCAGAGTCTGCGAACAATTTGTCAAGACTGGCAAGGTGAGGTCTCAATAGGTTCTCGAAGATTTGAGGATCAGCAAAACGATATACTTCAGCTCCGATCGCTATCGATGCTTCGTGTATCATCGGCATCACTTCTACCGATCTTTAAGCATTGATGCGGTAATGCCGAATCAATCTAATCGTGCTATATGTAATGATGACAGACTATCAAGGCATTGGAAGATGAACTGTTGTCCGGGCAGAAGCTGCAGGGACCAGCAACGGCAGACGAAGTCCACGATATGCTGAAGGCGCGTGGCTTGGTGGACAAGTTTCCACTATTCACAGCGGTGCATCGCGTTTGTACCGATCAGTTACGACCGGCGGATCTCATTGATCAGATCCGTAGTCATCCCGAACATGTGTAAGATTTCCATACTAAATTAGTTATACTCCATTAGCGTTTATTACATTTAGTGAATTTTATTGAATTACTGTTGATCCACTTTAAATAGCTTTTCAGGAAATATTTTTTTATTTTGATCAAATCGAAATAAATTTTGCAAAATCGGAAATCCTAAAAATGGCAATTAATTTCATATTATTGTAACCAATTAACAAAAGAATACTATTTTCATTGACTGTATCTCCTCAGGTTTGCTCCAAAGACCCTTTACATGTATTAAGTCCTTTTCCTCGCCAGCTTGTGTGCTCTTCAAACTATATTTTCAAGTAAAAATCAAATAGAAATTGTAATAATTTCTATTCCATAATTCTCCTTCCTTGTATACACAAATAATTATGTAAAATCTTTAAGAAAGATAAGGTGCGCATAATCACGGTGTTACAACCATAGAAAAAATATGTGAAGCAATTTCCACATGTTCCAGGATGAGATTAGAAGAGGGAAGTGCATAGTTCATTTAGAATACATTCAATCGGACTCTTGTAGGAACAGCCTGTAACATCAAGAAGAAAATAAATTAAGCAGCAAAAACTTGTACATACTTTGAGCATCTACTGTAATTGTATTGCTGTAAATAAAGATATCTTAATTATATGAAGTAAAATTGCATCTTTTAATTAAATCCAGTAAACTTATAATGTCTCTCATTTTGTACATTTATATCTATACAGCATATACAAGATACAATATTTACAATAATTTTAAATAATCAAGTATATTTACAATCCACATGTAATTGTAAGCCATTTTTAAACTCTTAATACTTTTCATAGTCTCAAGAAATTATTGCTTCGTATTTTTCAATGTTGTATATTTTTCACAAGTTTGAGCTCTGTTTTCTTTGCCTGTGTTGTTATTTTCCTGATCCTTGTACAATACATTATCCACTAGGACATCTGGAGTGAGTCGCAGTGCTAAAATATATTTCAATATCGCTCATTAATTAGATAATGTAATTTTTCTCTATTATTTTTAATATCAATTATAACTTACCTACTTTTCCAGGTGCCGTTTCAACCACCTGAATAACAGTCGTTCGCACCTCATATTCGACTTCCTGCGCAAACTTATTCAACTGAAACAGTAATACAAAATTTTTGCATTAATTTCTTTTAAATTAAATACAAATATATTCAATATAATCTTCAATATATACACTAATATATATAACTGTGTATATATAATATGCTCTATCTCCCTACACACTTTATACTAATAAATGTATATCATTCTAGTTACTAGAATTAAACAGAGGCATGTACCTCTTCAATTGCCGCCTGGTTTGTAACATTTTTATATTTCCTGTATTCGTCATTTATCTTCTTTCTTACAACTAAAGAACAATTCGGTAAAGTATTACTTATATTGAAATTGTATTTATTACATAATAATAACAAAGTGTGCAAATTTACCTTGCAATGCATGCTCATCACCTTCAAATGTCTTCAATCTTGTTCTATGAAGTTTTTTAAACACTCGTAGAACCTGAAAACAATGTTATAATAAAATAAATAAATGAAAAAGAAAAACTTGAAAAATTTTTTAATAGGAAATAATAAGATGTATGTATTGTGTCATCACATTTGGATATAAAAATAACTATTATATAAAGGAGAAGATATATGTCGGCGAATACTTTGAAAAAAAGTAGTGATATAACTCTTTAATATATGATTACCTCTCGCCGTAGACAGTCGCCCATTTATGCGGAAATCTTTCTAATTATTCTATTACAAGTAATTTAAAAAAGTTACTTTTCATTTATTTACATATAAAACTGAATTAGATATAATTTGTCATTCTTAGAGCTCGTTCCACTTGTCTTTCGCCGTATTATCTGTGTTTATTTAACTGTCGATAAACATAAACGTCTCCTACTCCTACAGCCTTGTTACTGCCATTGTAGACGGGCCTTTAAGGATGAAATAATGCTACAAGGATTGCGAACGTGACTTTAGTAAATCGAGCCAATCGAATTCAATCAAAGTCAATTTTCATGAACTCGTAAATGAAAAGCATCCATGCATGTGTTCTTCTTCTTCTTTCTTTTATGGCTGGTTGGGCATTAGTCGCCCATACACCATTGTTTCTTATGGGTTTGTAAGATATAAGCAAAAACTCCTCTTAAGAGAGGAGGAAGTCCAAAAAAAAGGTCCAGACAAAGGACATACGCAGTACGCAAAAACACGTCCGAACCCGACACGTTGTCAGTCGGAACTGCTCCATGCATGTGTAAGAAAAAGGGCGCTGATTGGATGAAACATATTTAATAAACCCTCTATCGTAGAAAAAAAAAAAAAAAAAAAAAATGGTTGAAAACTTTTCGACTTATTTTGTCGTCAACAGTATCGCATATACTTGGTTAGTGGCCATGAATTAATTAACATCCTGTATATATACATGCGGATATACAATATTTTAGATAGATAAATTCATTTCTTCAAGAAGAAAATTTCGAAGAAAAGGACTATGAATACGGGCCATAGAGCTCAATGGTGCCGACAGTTCATTGTCAGTGTCACTACTGGGAGTACAACTTTGATCAACAAAGTTGGTAAGCGATTCTTACAATCTCTTATATAAACATATACACGTTCTCATCTATTATCTTATCTAAATTCGTCACACAACGCTCTTATTTATCAGCTCATATAAAATTCAATAAGAGTCCTAGATAAGTAATATTGCTATGTTTAATTGCTGTGAAAAATCTATAACAAGTTCTTATTCTTTTCCAGCTACTCCGAATACTCACATTTGTAAAATTAATTCAAGGAGGAGAGAGAGAACGAGAGAGGAAGTGATCCTTGTCTGCTTACTGAACTAAGGCTTACATGCATTTTGTCACTATGGACAATTTTCCCATGCAAAACTATGAGAATAAGATGGAAACATTTGAGACGTACAATGAATCTGCAGCTACCACTGCAAATCGTCAACGTGAGATCACTCAAACTCAATCTGTGAATAGTCAAACACCTACTCGACAGATGCAAGTGCAAAATCAAGAAAATCGTGATACATTGGTGCTACAGCAGCAGCAGCAACAGCACCAGCCGCATCAAATGACGCAGATTCAGTCAAATGCTCAACAGAGCACAACATTAACTCCAGTCAGATTACCTGCTATATTAGATGGAGAATATTTTACAGTGACCAGAGTAGAGGATACCAATGTTACGGTGCGTTGTCAGCAGTGTCAGAAATTGTTAAATGGCAATCTGAAGTCTACTGGCAATTTCCTTAGTCATATGAAGGTAAATTAGTATATAAATTGGTTTAGAAAGAAAAGAGGTTTATTATTATTTGCCAATTATTACTCTTGCAGCGATTGCATCCGTCCTTGATTGAGAAAATAAGATGCAAATCTAATCAAAGGAAACCGGCAATGGTATACATTGATTCAATGTTGCCTGATAAGTGCTCTGAAATAGTACGAACGAGACGCGTGGTGTTACAAAATAAAAAGCGCTGCAAATCGGTAAGCATAATTTTTCCCCAATTTTTGCTGTTTGCAATGCGGATCAACTCCTTGCTGTTCTATATGTGGATGCAAGAGTTAAAATATAAAACCTATTAGAAAAGAAAGAGATAGATTATAATTTGTATAACCAGATTAATTGGATTTGTATAACCAGATTAATTTTCGTTTGCCTGTCTCTTACAAGAATGTGATTTTAATTGCAATCTAAATAGAGAAAAAGTTCTTTCTCTGCTTGCATTGTAATTAAATTAATATGTTCACATATACATGCATATGCAGGAGGAATGTGTAACTGAAAACGAAGAATCTTACGAGCACCAATCTGCGGATTGGAGCGACACATCGCTAGTTCGACGACGCTCCGAGGAAACAGAATCCACGGATCTGTCTCTAAGAATACCGCATAACAATTCGTTCGTAACGGAAGATGAGTACGATGCGATCGGTCGTAACGTCGCCGCCAAACTTAGAAACATGAGACTGGACCAAAGAATAATAGCCGAGAAATTATTGAACGATATTTTATTCGAGGCTCAGCTCGGTAATCTTCACAGAGATTCGAGTATTCATGTGTGAAAAAGAAAGATGTGTACCCACACACATATATATAAATGTGCTCACATAGAATAATGGGTGACAACTTTCTTCAACAAAGACTGTGTTCTAACTTTATTGAAAGACAAACGTATTTTGTAATTTCTCTATACATATTACGTAGAGGATTATAAGATATGTATCTTATAATCTTCTACATGACCATTTAGAGAATCAGGTTTGGATTTTCAGACGAGAAAGAAGAGATTATATATATTTTGAATTCTCAAAAAATTAAATAAAAGTATTTGCAATTTTTTCCAAGCAGTAGATAGAGATATAAGGATTTAAAGCTGGACTAATCACAGGATATTTAAAGAAAAGTATCTTGTGTATGATTAAGTAGCTTTAAATTATATTTCAAAAACTATTACTAATTAATTTTTCTGTAGTATATTTAATCGTGAATTTCGAAACACTATATTATATATATATGTATATATAAAAGGAATGTGTATATAATAGGTCCACTTTTTTTATATATATAAATGTATATAACATTGTAAATATTTTTACATATTGTTAAAAAATAAAACGAGCATGCTGCCTGAAGTATTAGAATGGTGCAAAAGATGCCATGGATTATTTTTTATTAAGACTTGCTCTAACTATATTAAGCAAAGTCAAGCATCTAGAATTTCTAAAAAAAATCGAATATTTTTTCCTTAATGATTATATTTAATAGTGATCTTTTTCATTAACACAAATTATGCAAATGTGTATAATTTGATTTTTAACTCTTTTTTGACAAATTTATGCCAAACCTCTTTTGCACCAATCTATAAATAGTGTGACTGTCTAAAAGTCTTCCTATACCTATCATTATTCTATGAATAATGTATGACTACAGTCACAGTTGTAATATATAGCAATTATACTTATAAATATACATTTTATAAACGATCTTTTTTGCATGAGATATTATCTTCAACATCTGAACGCAAAGAAATTTAAACCTTTAATAAAAGTCAAAAAATAACACACCTGTTAAGGTGTAAATAAATTATAGAAAATCTCTATTGTGCTTATTAACATCATTTAGTTTTTTCCGATGAGATCTATCGATACTTGAAGAAAATTTGTAACTATAATTTATTTATACTTTGCATAGAAGCAAAAGAGTGGAAGTACGATTTTTAGAAGACTTATCCAAAGAACATAGCCTTCTCTAGCGACTGTCAACTGCTGTACACTCTACATTTCTTTGGCTTAAACATCGCGTGGTATACTAAAGACGAGAGAACGCAGAGCGCCATGCTAACGAAAATCGTGTAGAATATATAGGTGTACCAGAATCCGTCCCAATCGGTGTTCAAGTACCACATCAGCGTTAGCGTTGAGTTCTGGGCGATCACAAATACATAGTACGGCAATGTCCACCAATCGGCGTACTTAAATTTGATCCGGTATTCGATCAGACTGAATATGTAGACCAGGCCGAGCCAAAAATTAACAATAGACGTGATCGCATCGTAATACTTCGAGTAGTAAAAAAGATAGATCAACGTGATAGCATAATGCACACCTAGCATAGCCAGTAAGGATACTGGATAGAATTCATAAGCTACAGTAATTGCGAACACGCGTGCCAGGATGAAGAGAAACCACCAGACAAAGGATAGAAATTTTCCAATCGGATCGTCTTCTTCGAGACCTTTCTCGGAATATTTACGTTTAGGAACTTTTAGACTTTGTGCGCTGCTGTCTATCAGTCTTTGATTTGACTCGAGGATCGATGCTGCTTTCGCTGCTTCTTCTTCTCGATAAACGGAATCTGGACGCGGTGGCGCCGGTACGTCCGGCACTGGAAGCGGCGTCACCGTTGTGATGCCGCGAAGCGGCGTCGGCGGTGGCGTCACGCGCGCATTTTTCGGTGGTAACGGTGGAGTCACGGAAATCTGGCGATGCAAGGAAGTTTCATGGTATCTATTTTGATGCTGCCCTTCGTTTTCGATAACGGCCGGGTCTTCCGGCAATTTTTCCGATGATGTTGATTCGTGCGGCGCGGCATTGTCTTGTTCCTTTCCTTCAGGTAAAGGTAACGCTTGTAATGGCGCTTTTTCTTCGATATTGTTCAGTTCCTAGTTGAATAGAATTAACATAGTATTAATTGTAGTAATTCACAGAAATAATATGTTAATTATGCTCTAGAATCATCCTCAGTAATCAAATGGAAATACAAAATACATAATAAGATATATAACAATGCAAATAATATTATATGAAATTTACACAAAATAATAATAGTTGTGTAAAGATAAAAGTTAAATGCAAGTTTAATGAAATTGTTAAGTTATATGAACAAATAATAAATTTAAAATTGTTGGAATATTTTATTTTTGTAGTTGAATTATAATATACCTCAACGCAGTACTTCTTCAGCCACATCGCCCAAGGTAGTTTTCTGCCATTTACACGTTGGCTCTCGAATCTTTGAAAAGAGGCTGTCTCAATGGCTAGTATTACAATAGACATAATGATGCAGAGTACTTGTACAGTCACTGCAAATGAGTAAGTTACATATACTCATTATTATATAAAATAAGATTTTTTAAAAACAAGTTATTTTGTGTAACTCATCAAGCTATAAAAAAATGTAATGTAAATATTACAATACTTATATAAAAAATATAATATACCAGATTGATAACTGCGAAGCGCAGAACTCTGTCTGAAGAGCAAATGTGTTTGAAAAATAGCTTGTGGTGCGGCTTGAAACCATGCCTGTAGGAAGAAGTACAATTCGATAGCTGCAGGTGCTGCGGCTACATTTAATGTCTTAACTCTTGCATCTCCAAATAAATTTATGGCATCCACAGAGAGTACAATTAGTCCTGCATATCTGTAAAAATAAACTACTTTCCCTATATAACCATTGATTACAGCCTACAAACTAACAAATTAAATTCATCAATTAAATAAATAATGTAAATTATCTAACTTGTTAATTAAATAAAGAATAAATAAAAATTTACTCATGTTGAAAATTAAGTATTACCTGTATAATACAAAGAACACAAATCCAATGAACTGAAACACTTGAAGAGCAAACCATCTAAAAATGCCTTTCGATACTTTGTCGTCATCTGTCATCCACCAATCTGGTCTTGAAATTGTCAGTATAAAATATGTAAGTGCCGGGGCATACATAATTGCAATAGTGCAAGCTCCCCATAATAGATTTTCTTCTTTGAAGTGTTGAATAGCTACCACTAAGTCAGCAGCAAAATTAATTATGTATATAAAACAATTGGTTAATGCTGGTATGAGAAATATTAGATATATCTGTTCGGTTGACTTTAATGGGACCTTCATGAAACATGTGGATTTTCTATGGCAAAGTTTAGTTGACTCTTGTGCCATTTTCTTAGAATTAACAAATCTGTTTCATCTTTCAGTTCTGACAGTGCGTACAAATGACCTACAACTGAAGCTCTTTCTGCAAAAAAGAAATATGATTAATGATAAAATATTGACGCAATTGTAATAAAAAACGAATATTATTTTCATTATTTAAAGTTTTATATTTATTAAATGTTACTGTGATGTATTATTATATATGATAGAACATATATAATGTATAAATATATATAATGTGGAATTAAAAAATATATTGGAAAAATTTATTTCTTTAATGAGGAAAGAAAGAAAAAACAATTTAAAAATTTAATAATAAATAATTAGCATGGCTATTTACCTAAGGTGGCTAAAGATCAACTGTGATTTTTCAACGTGTCTTTAGATTAATCGAAACATTTCAATGATAAAGCTGCACATATACTTCCATCAAGTCACATAGTCATACACTTCAGTCATATACTTTAATTTTTCAAAGTACAGCATGGTCATAATATTCTTCCATTTACTACAAATTTATATAAAAAGTGTACACGAAACTCTCTTTATAAAGAAATAAATTATATAATTGCGCGGTTCGTGGAATTACAGTGAACTTTATGGGAAAACGATGAGGAAGATAAGTAATATATTATATATATTATATTTTACGATTGATCGATTAGTCAGCGCGTCGAACAAATGGGGAAGATAACTTTGATAAGCTTCTATTTCACAAGATAGTGATAAATCAAGTATCGGTATCATGTCGTTATTATTACACAAATAGGATAGGTTATGGCAGGTTATGGTCTTGTATGCAAGAGCTCTTTTATCCTGATTGGTCAATCAACAGTTCTCCTGCAGCTCGTGTTGGTGCGTATGAATCGAATACTATAATACTGTATATTGCTGTATATGTTTTATGTATGTATGTACATGTTGCGTATAAAGATCAATGGTTACTACTGCAAACAGCAACAGTTAGAAGAGGTGTAAATTACCCCAAAATTTTTCTGCATTCTTTTTTTTTTTTTTTTTTTTTTTTTTTTTTTTTTTTTGTTGAATTAAGTAACTTAATATTTCTCTAAAAAATGTAGAATTTTAATTCTATTATCACCGAAATATAAGAATCCAAAATACATAGATATATATTTCAAGTTACATTTGTATGGCATAAAATGTCCGGTATATTTGGAATAAAATACAAGTTATTCCTAAATTTTATATACTGATTAGCTTTCTGTGAGAAAATTAGTTTTTGACTGAGGAATAAAACAAATTTCATAGAAAACACAAACATTTTTCTTTAATTATATATATA